TGCATTGGTGGTCATTGAAGAAGGACCCCCTTGCATTGGTGGTCATTGAAGAAGGACCCCCTTGCATTGGTGGTCATTGAAGAAGGACCCCCTTGCATTGGTGGTCATTGGAGAAGGACCCCCCTGCATTGGTGGTCATTGAAGAAGGACCCCCTTGCATTGGTGGTCATTGAAGAAGTACCCCTTACATTGGTGGCCATTGAAGAAGGACCCCCTTGCATTGGTGGTCATTGAAGAAGGACCCCCTTACATTGGTGGTCATTGAGGAAGGACCCCCTTAAATTGGTGGTCATTGAAGAAGGACCCCCTTACATTGGTGGTCATTGAGGAAGGGCCCCCTTAATTGTTGGTCATTGAGGAAGGGCCCCCTTGCATTGGTGGTCATTGAGGAAGGGCCCCCTTACATTGGTGGTCATTGAAGAAGGGCACCCTTGCATTGGTGGTCATTGAAGAAGGACCCCCTTGCATTGGTGGTCATTGAAGAAGGACCCCCTTGCATTGGTGGTCATTGAAGAAGGACCCCCTTGCATTGGTGGTCATTGAAGAAGGACCCCCTTGCATTGGTGGTCATTGAAGAAGGACCCCCTTGCATTGGTGGTCATTGAAGAAGGACCCCCTTGCATTGGTGGTCATTGAAGAAGGACCCCCTTGCATTGGTGGTCATTGAAGAAGGACCCCCTTGCATTGGTGGTCATTGGAGAAGGACCCCCCTGCATTGGTGGTCATTGAAGAAGGACCCCCTTGCATTGGTGGTCATTGAAGAAGTTCCCCTTACATTGGTGGCCATTGAAGAAGGACCCCCTTGCATTGGTGGTCATTGAAGAAGGACCCCCTTACATTGGTGGTCATTGAGGAAGGACCCCCTTAAATTGGTGGTCATTGAAGAAGGACCCCCTTACATTGGTGGTCATTGAGGAAGGGCCCCCTTAATTGTTGGTCATTGAGGAAGGGCCCCCTTGCATTGGTGGTCATTGAGGAAGGGCCCCCTTACATTGGTGGTCATTGAAGAAGGGCACCCTTACATTGGTGGTCATTGAAGAAGGACCCCCCTTGCATTGGTGGTCATTGAAGAAGGACCCCCCTTGCATTGGTGGTCATTGAAGAAGGACCCCCCTTGCATTGTGTAAAAACATAACTGATGATACTTAGGCAAGATGGATGGTGAGAGACAAGAGGTGAAACCTAATATATCTCTCTGCTGAGTACCAAGACAATTCACCACCACCCGAGAAATCAGTCTGCCACTGCTGAGGAACCCCCTGGAACCTCCAACAGAACCATGACCTTTGCACTGGAGAGAGACCTTTGCACTGTGTTACAATGTATATACCTTGGGTGCATTGCTGTGGATTCTCAATGTCTGAACCGTGTATTTCATTTTTCCAGCTCCAGAGCTGCTGGAGGGTCAGGGAGCCATTCCACCCACCGATATCTGGGCTGTCGGGGTTACAGCGTTCGTCATGTGAGTATTGTGATACAACGGGGATACAAGCACACAGGCCGCCTATTAATAGAATTGCTTTTCATTTCATTACTCGTCACTGATAAATTGTAGACATTTTGTTGTACTGGCTTCAGTAGGGGCCGTCATAACTGCCCCAGTTATCAGTCTGCTGCAGGCAGGAGGAAGCATTTCCGCAGTCTCCTCCCCCCAGTGATCAGTCTGCTGCAGGCATTAGGAAGCATTTCCTCGGACTCCCCCCCCCCCGCCGCCCCAGACGCGCTGGCGTCCATCGCAGTGATCAGTCTGCTGCAGGCATTAGGAAGCATTTCCTCAGTCTCTCCTTCCCCAGTGATCAGTCTGCTGCAGGAATTAGGAAGCATTTCCTCAGTCTCTCCTGCCCCCAGTGATCAGTCTGGAGTAACTTTGTTGCAAGTCACAAGGTGAGAGGTTGCAGCAGTGGCTGATCTGTGCCAGACATTTGTGATCACAGTCGAGAACTGCACTGACACCGGGATTTACATGACTATGTCATCTCTAAGCCAACATCTCAGTCCAGGAAGTAGATGGGAAGCCAGGATGAGGCCTGAACAAAGATGGCTCCGTCCTTCTGTAGAGAAAAGCCATTGTCAGGGGGGAAGTCCTGTGACAGGTATCTGATGACAGGTCCACTTTAGGCAGAGAATTGCAGCATTATTGTCCTAGGAAATTTGCAGCTCTTGTTTTTTATCTGTTCTCTTCCCGCCTTCCAGGTTGAGCGCGGACTATCCGTTCAGTCCTGACTGCGGGCCGGAGCTGGAGAAAGAAATCAAGAAAGGATTGATCAAGTTCAGCCATTGCTACGCCGGTTTGTCCGGAGGGGCCGTACGCTTCTTGCAGAGCGCGCTGTGGTCCAATCCCTGGTATGAGGCTCCAGCACCCACCTCTGTCCCGGCCTGTGCTCGTCCTCCTAAACTAAACCTGGAGAGAAAGATGAAGCCTGCCATTGCTGACCTCTCCTAAAAATGGTGCTTTCCTGGCTGTCATGCGAATCCTCTGCTTCAGCAGCCTGACTTACTGATGCCGAAGAATTATGCAAATACGAAGTGCTGACTTCTCTGATTTGCTGTTCTGGGGCAGAGACTCCATAAATATTGAAGCCAGAGGATCAGCATGACAGCTCGGTATCAGGCATTTTCAGAAGGTTGTGAGAAGGTTGTCAGAAGGTTGTGATGTTGAGTTAGAGGCAAAGTTTACCTTAGCCATGTTTCCTTTTACACCCATTTTTAGGGTGTAAGAGCAAACATGGTCATGTACCCCAGTCCCACACCCCCGAAACGCACCCCCCCACCACCCCCACACACACACAGTACCTACTAAGTGTCCCAGGTCTCCTACTGAGCTCCACAGGTCTTCTGAGTGCCCCAGGTCTTCTACTAAGTTCTCTGGGTTATCTACTGAGTGCCCCATATCTTCTACTGAGCACCCCAGGCCTTCTACTGAATGCCCCGGGCATTCTACCTAGGGCCCCTTCTGAGTGCTCCATAACTTCTAATGAGTACCTCATATCTTCTACTGAGTGCCCAATATCTTCTACTAAGCGTCTTGCGTCTCCTACTGAGCTCCATAGGTCTTCTGAGTGCCCAAGGTCTTCTACTGAGGGCCCCAGGTCTTCTACTAAGTTCCCTGAGTCACCTACTGGGTGCCCCATAACTTCTAATAAGTACCTCATATCTTCTACTAAATGCCCCGTGTGTCCTACTGAGCTCCACAGGTTTTCTGAGTGGCCCAGGTCTTCTACTAAGTTATCTGGGTCATCTTCTGAGTGCCCCATAACTTCTAAAAAGTGCCTCATATCTTCAACTGAGCTCCCCACGTCTTCTAAGTTTTCTGGGTCTTCTACTGACCTCCACAGGTCTTCTACTGAGTGCACCATAACTTCTGAGTACCTCGTATCTTCTACTAAGCGTCCCGGGTCTCTCACCGAGCTCCACATGTCTTCTACTGAGTGCCTCAGGCATCCTTTGCCTTCATCCCAAGTATGATCCTTTAGGTTTAAAGTCATCAATTTTTACCGTTACTTGGAATTGCATTGTCCCCTCACAATTTTTTAGCAGGCTGCCCAAAATAAGCCAAAAACCTTTGCCGCCTCTGCAGTTCTCATCTTCAGATAACTATTGGGCTTTCTTGGAATTTGTGTATCAACCAGGGGCGTAACTAGAAATCACAGGGCCCCATAGCAAAAAATGTTTATGGGGCCCGGTGACTTCTAGTTACACCCCTGGCTGAGCCCACCTGAGATCCCACACAGCCTTCCTGAGAGTGACCCTGCAGAGCTCACCATAGACTCTCTACGGTGGGCTCTGCAGGGTCTCAGGTGGGCTGGTCACACTACTTACCTGTCTGCCTCCTTTTCCTCCACGGTCGCTGATGGGCCCCACCTCCTCCGTCACCGGGTCCGCCTCCTCCTCCGTCACCGGGCCCCGCCTTCTCCTCCGCTGCTGACCCCGGGCCCCGCCTCCTCCTCTGGGTCCAGCCTCCTCCACCGCCGCTGCTGGCTCTCACTGACTCAGCAGCGGCTGTGGAGGGGAATGTGCTGCCGTACAGATCACTGTCAGTGATCTGAACAGCGGCGCGTTCCTCTTCACAGCCGCCAGTGACAGCCAGCAGCATGAGATGCCATAGCGACCCAGGCGGCCCGCACGGCATCAGGGATGTCCTGGCTGGGCCCCCCCTGTGCCCCGGGCCCCATAGCGGTCGTCTGGGTCGCTATGGCGATTGTTACGCCACTGGTATCAACGTATTTAACTTTTTTTTTATTCATTGTATAATAGTAATTATTTTGTTGTTATTATTAATATATATTTTTTTAATCTTCAGGGGGCGCCCCTCTGCGTCAGACTGCCTGAAAATGCCGTGGCTTCAGGAGGCCGGGCTGGCCACGTTGCAGCAGCTGCCGGTCTACTTCCCCAGCGCGAAATTGAGGAGCTTCCTGCGCCAGAGAGCAGCCAAGACAAAAGCAGCGGGGTCATCCCGATCCTGACAAAGCCGACACCGTCAAACAGTCACTGTGTAGGCGATCAGCCATATTTCTTCTTGAAGCCACCCCGCGTCCTCCTCACCAGTTGTAAAGTTTGCCCCCGATAAAGTGCACCTGTCATTTACATCAAGGACGAAAGACAATTTTTGGCTTCCTGCAATATCTAGATGTCATCTCTGGGCTCAGGACCCCTTTGGGCAGGTGACAGGTCCACTTTACCGGCAGCTCCCTCGTCCTCCCCGGCGTTCTAGGCTTGCCACTCAGGTATTTTTAGCAGTTTTTGTGTTCGTTCGGCGTCTTCGTGTCGTGAGGCATTTTGCAGATCAGCTGACTGGCAGACTCGTTATAGAAAGCGGCAGCATCCCGATAGGATTTGATAATGTGAGTTCCGCGTGGCTTGTGAAGAGGGAGCAGTTGTGAATGGGGGCTAAGCAGCACAGGCTGTTGAATTCTCTGGCCACCTCATTAAAGTTGAACTCCAGACATAAAAACTCATCTTCCTCACTGGCCACAAAGGATATAATTCCAAGCTGTGCGCACCAAATACCTCCGCAGACCCAGATATTACCTTCTTAAGTAGCAGTGACATCATCACTGTGCTGTACATAGCCTGTGCAGAGAGCAGAGTTGTGGGAGGGGCCCAGCAGAAAACTATGGGGCGGAGACTAGACCAGTCACCCTGAACATGGAGATAGAGCAGCAGTGAGCAGTCTTTATTACAGGAGGGGGCGGAGACAAGGCCAGCCACACTGCACAAGGAGAGAGAGCAGCAGTAAGTGGTCTTTATCACAGGAGGGGGCGGATACAAGACCAGTCACCCTGCACAAGGAGAGAGCAGCAGTGAGTGGTCTTTATTACAGGAGGGGGCGGAGACAAGACCAGTCACCCTGCACAAGGAGAGAGCAGCAGTGAGTGGTCTTTATTACAGGAGGGGGCGGAGACAAGACCAGTCACCCTGCACAAGGAGAGAGCAGCAGTGAGTGGTCTTTATTACAGGAGGGGGCGGAGACAAGACCAGTCACCTTGCACAAGGAGAGAGAGCAGCAGTGAGCGGTCTTTATCCCAGGGGTTCAGAATAAAAACACCTCCTCATACCTGTACTGACCTCACACCATTTCCTGTCCCCACCGTGTGGAGTTGAACTTATGATACCGGCAATATTTAACTATTTAAGATTTACAGAAATAAGTTATTTGTATTGGGCGTTACATGTAGAACACTAACCTCAATGACAGCGTCATGTTTTCCTGTGTGCAACGTAACAAAATAACCTTTGTAGACACAATACATATATTAAGTGTTACATTGAAATCCTTCACTCGTGTCGGAGGTCGGGCTCATCGTCCCCCCCAACGTTCCAACTCCTTCTGATGTCGTTGACCGTAACTCATTGAACACAGACGTGCCGTTCAATCTTAGTCGCAGGGTAAATCACACACACTCACACGCAGCACGCTCTTGGTTATACTTAGTATTAAGGGAACAGATTTGTAATTCCAGTGAGATTGTATAATTTGCATGTATTTATACGGACTTTTTTTGTCGTATGATTTTGTTTGATTTTTGCAATAAAAAACATAAAAAAACGTTCACAAATGACTTTCTTTTGGGGGTTTGGATTCTGACGCATTGGGAGGGCACACGGGTAGCGAAGCAAAACGCAGGCGCAGAGAACAACGTGGATTAAGTTAATGAAACATAATATTTAAAGGAGAACTATGAGGTGAGTGATTTTCCCTCATCCTCATAGTTCGAGCCGACCTGTGACAATGATCAGTAGATCGGGAGATGAGCGAACACATACCGCCGCTTGCTCACTTCTCAAACATCTCCCTGCAGAGAGCCGTGACTGTCACCCACTTCTCCGTGCACGGATCCCCCCCCCCCACTGTTCAGATCCTCCAGCGCTGACTGGCGGAACGGATGGGGGAGGGGGCGGGTACAGCTGGCTCTGCCTCTAGATAGGCAGAGCCAGCTGTCAGTCACGCAGCTTGGCGGATCTCGACAGCAATGTCGGGATCCGTCCCGGCTGTGGCGGTCTCGGTATATAATGAGCTGTAGCTCGCGATATACTGAGCTTTGGGTGACAGGAGGACGCTAGTTTGTGTCCTCCCGTGACCCTTAGAAGAACTATGGGGGAAAGCCCTAAATGTAAAAAGTATCTATTCTACTGGGGATGGGCAACCTCGGCACTCCAGCCCATACCTAGTACAACTACAAGTCCCCAGGGCCGGATTTCCCACAAGGCCAACCAAGGCCCGGCCTCGGGGCAGCAGGGAGTAGAGGGGTGGCAGGGGGGTGGAATTCCTATCTCCCGATGCCCGGGACATGCCGTTTCAGGTGCCGGGCGGGTAGTTGTTTTCTACATTTAGCCCTGCTTTGGGCAAGCAGAGCTAAATGTACAACGGGGAAGCCTCAGCTTGGTTTGTACAAGCGATGTCGCCAAGATCACTTTTATGCAGCCTGCAGGTCTGCCAATCTCCATGGGGTGGGGGGCCTTGGGGCAGCAGAGAGACTAAATCCGGCTCTGCAAGTCCCATGGGGCATTGCAAGACTGTCAGCTACAGACTTGATTCTCAGAGGCATGATAGGATTTGTGGTTTCATCACAGCGGCAGTGCCAAGGTTGTTTACCCTCCGGAGTGCACAGGCTCAATCAGCTCTACGATCATGGTCGGGACGAGTGTAGCTTTATAGGTCCACAGGAAAGTCCTTCCTCTAGCCGCCATTGGAGAGGAGCCCACCTATTGGATGGAGAACTCAACGTCACAACTAGGAAAGAAGCAAAAGTAAACCAGCTCCTTTCTCAGTTGGGACATCCAATAGGGGGTTCCTTTCTAAAGCCGGACTTTCCCAGGGACCATCTAGACCTGCCCTGGCCACGATCAGTTTTTATTCGGCCTTCGTGGGGTTTTTAATGTCCTCTAATATTTAAATTTGATTTCTTCTATTTGGTTCACCTTCGTTTTGCTGCACTGGGCACAGTGTTGAGTACCGGTGAAGGGCTGCAAGTTGTGGAACAATGATCTACCATTGTCGGTTGGACCATAACAGTGCGTGGTAGTGATCTGGAGAGTTAAGTGGCAAGTGATTTCCACTATTTTTGTCAAATTGCAAGCTCTGCTTTGTTGCCCGACAGCAGCTCCGGGCAGAAACCACGCCCAGCCTTGCTGTGTTGATTGACAGTAGCTCCGGGCAAAAACCACACCCCCTCCCAGTCCTTGCCACCTTGACTGACAGCAGCTCCTGGCAGAAGTCACACCCACCCTTGCACAGTCCTGCTCTGTTGATTGACAGCAACTCTGGATAGAAACCACACCCCTGCCCAGCCTTGCTGTGTTGATTGACAGTAGCTCCAGGCAGTAACCACACCCCCTTCCAGTCCTTGCCACCTTGACTGACAGAAGTTACACCCACCCTTGCCCAGTCCCGCTGTGTTGATTGACAGTGACTCCAGGCAAAACCACACACCCATCCGGCTCTGCCAAATCGACTGACCGCAGTTCTCGGCAGAAACCACACCCCCAGCCCTGCCACCATGACTGAGAGCAGCTCTTGGCAGAAACTGCACTTCCTCCCAGCCCTGCTGTGCTGACTGGCAGCACCTACGGCCAGAAACCACACGCCCACCTAGCCCTGCTGTGCTGATTGACTGCAGCCCCTGGCAGAAACCACACCCCCTGTCCAGCCCTGCAGATTGGCGGCAGCTGCTGGAAACCCCACCCCTGCTGTGTTGACAGGAGCTCTTGTCAGAAAAACCACACCCCCGCCCAGCCCTGCTGTGTTGATTGGCAGCACTGCCAGAGACCACACCCCTGCTGTGTTAATTGACAGCAGTTTCTAAAAGAAACCACACCCCCGCCCAGCCCTGCTGTGTTAATTGACAGCAACTACAGTGAGAAATCACGCTCTCTAATGCTAGATGGTACTTAACGCAGTGATGAGAGCGAATTTTGCTGGTGGGAGGTGGCAGGTCCCCCTTCTCCCCCTCAGATGCAAAGGAGCTGCTGTGGTCACGTGACCGCAAAAGGAACAATCGGGTAAGAGAGGTGATTTTGCACAGCTTCCAATGTGGACAGTGCAGTCAGTCCATTGAGATTAAATTCACATAAAGTCTTATTTTGTAACAAATCCGTTTATCTGCAGAAAATGATAAATAAGATCAATGTTTAGACTCCATTCTAACAGGACACCTTTCACCCTGCCGGGCAGAACATTGATCGGAACCTGTAATATTTTATATTTAAAAAAAGAAATGCCCTGCCGGGTTTGAGGCTGACCTTTGTGATGTTACAGGGAGAGCGGGCCCTGGAAACACTTTTGGTATCTCCCATTTCCTTAGGAAATAAAAAAATCGAGCTGCCACCAGAATGACCGAGCTTTGGAAGACAGATAATAGAATACAACAATACGGGAAGACAGAACGGAGACGCCGACAGACACCGGAGCGTTGTTCAGAGCTGGGACGGGAATGGCGCCTACAGGGAGGAAGGAGAAGTCACGCTGAGCCTCGTGTAGGAATGGCAGTGCATGGATGGGGGTTAGGAATGGCTGCGGAAAGTGGGAGGGGGATGTTGGCGGCGTGCGCCGGTCAGGAGGTCTTCGACTTTTGAGCCAATTTGATTTCCTGCAAGAAAACAGAATGTTAACATTTTATACGACTATCTCCATATACTCAGAGCTTCAAAGACATCTAAACCCAAGAACAAAATTGTAATATATTGCAGGCCGTCAGTCCTGAGAAGGTGGTGGCTGCATTAGTTTTCTTTTTTTTTTTGTTAGACATTTTCAGCGCTGTCACGGCAGAGAGCCGTGACAGGATCGAGAGGTGAGCGAACGCCGATATGTGTTCTCTCACCTCCCTATCTGCTGAGCTGACCTGTGACAGTCTCATTGTCACAGATCGGCTAGAACTATGAGGTGAGTGGAAATCACCTCCCCCTCATAGTTCTCCTTTAAGCATTTTATATCAATATCAAGCTAGCCACCATTTTTTCCCAGGTGCTCCTAACTCTATACCCCAGATTATTGGTCATCCATGAAAAGTTTCACATCTATAAACCTGTTTGTTCGAGCTATGTGGACCTGCACTCGAAAAATGAAGACTTGCTATCTTATGGGGAACGTCTATTTGGTGATGTCAGCACTGTACGGCCCATAGTTCTCCTTGCTGGAGAGGAAGCTGTACCTGAGGAGCTATAAAGACACAGGAACCTAAAAAATAGCAGCGCACTTCCTGTGCCTAGGCACGTCTTGTCTCGAGTCTGATAGGTCCTCAGGTGCAGCTGCCTCTCCAGCAAAGAGAACAGCGGGGAGGGGGGAATCCAGCCCCTCCCCTGTCACGGCAGAGAGCCGTGACAGGATCGAGAGGTGAGCGAACGCCGGTATGTGTTCGCTCACCTCTCGATCTACTGAGCCGATCTGTGACAGTCTCATTGTCACAGGTCGGCTAGAACTATGAGGTGAGTGAAAAGCATTCACCTCATAGTTCTCCTTTAAGTAATCAGAAACCAAGACTGATCCCAAACTGGAACCCAGCAGTACCATACTAGAACACAGCCCACTGCCTGAGCAATACCATCCCCCATACAGTGGTGAACATGTGGGTACCCCACTCATGGCAGGAATCTGTAAGCCAATCAAGCTCTACTGCATGGCACATGGACGTTAATCTGACTGGTTTCCAGCACGTGTGAGAATGTCAAGCTCAGAAGAAAAAGGATTACAAAATATTCTGGACAGGTGGAGCAGTCCAACATTGGAAACCAGGAGCAGCTTATTCTTACAACACTCGCAGGACTTGCAGACTCACCTCTTTGAGGGCATCTATGAGTTGTCCGTAAGCTTCTTCTAAATCATCGTTTAAAATGATGGAATCAAACAGACCGGGCTCCTTACCTGCAGACACAGACAGACATTAATGTATCGCAGTGCATGCTGGACTAGGAAACCAGGACCTATAATGTTCTGCAATGGTGGAGATTCTCACCATGTTCATTGTAATGTGATTGGCTAGAGATAGAGAGCCAACCAGTCTGGATAAAACACTTCTGGGAATAGCCAGTTATAAAAAAAGAGGGCGAGTTACCCCAAACATTTGCGGACACCTGAACATCACACCTATATCAGCTTCCTGGACATCCTATTCCAAAACTATGGGTATTCATTTGGAGATGCCAACCACCACCCCCCCCTTGCAGCTAAAACATCCTCCACTCTTCTGGGAAGGCTTTTGACAAGATTTTGGAGGGTGTCTGAGGGAATCTGTGACTATTTGTGAGGTCAGGTACTGATGTTGGATGAGAAGACGTGGCCCACAATCATCAAAAGGTGATCAGTAGGGTTGAGGTCGGGGCTCTGTGTAGGACACTCGAGTTCCTCCACACCAGACTGGTCACACCATGTGTTTATGGCGCTGGTTTGGTACTCGGGCTCAGTCATGCTGGAACTGAAAAGGGCCTTCACCAAACTGTTACCACAAGATCTAAAATGTCTTTGTAGATTGTAAGATTAACCAAACTCTTCACTGGAAACACCTGAACGCAATTACACGGAGGGGAGTCCACCTACATCTGGGTGGCTGGTTGGCAGGATCACGATTAGAAGTGGTCTGTTGCTGCATGGGTTAGGACTAGGGATGCACCGATACCGATACTTCCACTAGCATGGAGCCAGCTTCCCGGCTGTTTGGCTGGCTCGATGCTGATTGGCCAGGAAGCCAGCTTCCCAGCAAATTAGCATGGAGCTGACTTCCCAGGCAATCAAGAAGCCGGGCAGCGTGTCATTACCCGCCACCCGGCTTCTTGATTGCCCGGGAAGCCGGCTCCATGCTGTTTGGCTGGCTCAATCAGCATGGAGCCGGCCAAACAGCATGGAGCCAGTGTTCTATCGAAAGCTCCGACTTGTCGACTTCTCCAACTGGTGACGTCACATCCGGTGACTGCCAGTAGGAGATGTACAGCAGATAGAGCAAGTGCGCATGGGCAGAAAATCCTTGTCCAACGGTCTAACTATTGCCACTGCGCCTGCGCGGCTAATCGGATTCTATAACCTCGTACAAACTTATATTTGTCCTAGGTTATAGAAGCCGATAGCCGCGCAGTGGCAACTGCGGTTGTAGAAAGAATCATGTGGCCGCGCAGGCGCTGCAACATAATATAGCCTCTGACTAGGTTATAGAATCCGATGAGGCAATAGCCACTGCGCCTGCGTGGCTATCGGCTTCTATAACTGAGGACAAATATAACTGTAGTAGGTTATAGAAGTGGATAGCCGCGCAGGCGCTGTGGTAATAGTTGGACAGTTAGACAAGGATTTCCTGCCCATGCGCACGAGCACCATCTGCTGTAGATCTCTTACTGGCAGCCACCGGATGTGACGTCACCAGCTGGAGAGGTCGACAAGTTGGAACTTTCGATAGAACACCGGCTTCCCAGCCAATCAGGAAGCCGGTCGGCGAGTCATTACCCATCGCCCGGCTTCATGTTCCCTCACGGCACTGCCGGTCAGAGGAAATCTCCCTCTGACCGGAAGTTCCGGTGTCAGGTTAAGAATCGGAGCATTTGGGCGTGTAGGAGTACTCGCCCAAATACTCGGCGTCAGTATCGGTGCATTCCTAGTTAGGACTTAATCAGATCTCAACTGACCTGTTTCAGATCCCACAAAGAAAAAAAAACTAATTATGTCTTAAAAATAAATGAAAAACGTGTCCCAGGTGACATTTCGATCCAAATGCTCTCGCAAGCCAATGCAGCGGCACTCAGAATTTTAGGGACCGCAAACCTCCAAAATCTCATTATTCTAATTTGGGTTCTCAGTATGTTAGGAAAGACTACAAAAGCCAAAATGTATATGGTGCGTGTCAGTGGCGTCACAAGGGGGGGTGCGGCCCGCACCCGGGTGACACCATTGGAGGGGTGACACCAAAATGACTGGTCATTTTGATGTCACCCCCCTCTGAAAAGTCGGGCACTTGGTCATGGTCCGAGCGCCCGACAGTATCAGGGGAGAGGAGGGGACCCGGCTGCATACCTTATCCCGCCGGGTGACTGTCCCCTCCTCTCTGCCGGCTTCCATCACCAAGGTGGCCGCCGGCTGGTATCAAGAGGATCGCCACTCGCGGGGTGACACTGGGTAACCGCTCCGGGTGTCACCCAGCCTCGGGACGCCCCTGGTGTGTGTAAAACAAGACATCTCTGAAGAAAGTGGGAAAACAAATGCTCCGGGGCTTCAGGGGTTATTCTGGGATACAAGCGGTTAATCTGGCCGAGGGCCACAATGAAGAGACAACAGATCTGCAATGTACAATACAGCGCCAAGCGTGGGCGACAGAACTCACTGATCTCTATGTCCTCCCTGGCTGCCCGCAACCTCTTCTGTAAACTTTCCTCGGACTCGGTCTTGCGGTCTCGCAGCCTCTTCTCCTGTTAGGCAGATGAAGGAGAGTCTGAGATGAAGACTTAATAGGGCGACATTGACTGGTTAGAGATACCAACGCATTGAGCCAGCAATCGCCAACTACCACCATGTGATCAAGTCCAACCCTGCCTACGATCCACACACACCGACTACCCCACATTCATTGGTTTATATCTCCAACCTTGGCTTCTAAGATCCAAAATACAGGTTCATTGATGGGGTTTACAT